TATGTATATATATATATATATATACATATATATATATACACAAGAGGTTTATGAGGATGAGACAGTGCGTTCGGTATGGGAACTATAATTATTGAGACTCGGTATACGTGTGTTTGATCGATTGTGCTGGATTTTTTTTTTTTTTAACCAACAGTATTATGTTATGAATTATATTATTCAGGGATATGATTTTAGAGATAAAATTAAAAAAAAAGGGTTTTACGCGAGTAATGAGCTCGATTCAAACAGAGTATATTGTTTATTTGATTTTCATACTGTTTGAAATTTTCGCCAAATTATCTATTCCTGGTTTATTACATTTTTTGAAATATTTCTTCATGGATGTAACAAAGTTTTATAATATCATATTTATTTATGTTTTGAGAGTCACTGCAAACACAGTCACATAAAGAAGCTGAAAACTTTATGTTTTCCTAAAAAAAGCAGTTTAATTTCGCTACAATTTATTTATGTGTTTTGATATTAATCATAGTCCATATTAATCATTAAGCAATCATTAAACAACTGCCCAAAAAACAATGCCTTCTTTTTATAACACAGTTGTACCTTTTTTACCTCATTTTCTTATAATATGTGCAATTCAATTAAAGTTGATATTCAACGATGAAAGAAAAAAAAAAAAAAAAAAAAAAAAGAAAAAGAACCCGATGCAAAAGCCAAGCAAAGGTTGAAAGAGAATAGAAAACGATGAAAAAGACACGGAGACGAATCGATCGAGAAACACGACGGGGTTTTGCGAGCGAAATCGGCTATAATATACAATGCGCACGTCGAATGAAGTATTGGTATATAATGTATATACATACGTGTATAATAACGGGGCCCTATCTTTTGTGCGCGCGCTTGTATGAAATACAGTTCGAATCTGTCTTCGTATGACAAAAAAAAGAGAAAAACAACGCGCAAGACGGACGGGCAGACGAAAAGGAGAGGAGATGGGAAGACACACACCGGGTGGCTGGTCGTACCGTTACATTACCCGCGCGTTAAATTTCGAAACCCAGAGAGAGAGAGAGAAAGAGAGAGGCATTTCTTTTTTTTTTTTTTTCCCCACTTGTTCCCCTTCTCGGACAATGCTCGCGCGTGTAAAACGTATAAAATAAAGCAAGATTGCACAAAATAGCGTGACATGCGAGCGAGTAATGAAACATATGAGAACAACTTTGTACTCCGGGTGCAGGGGTGGACATGGTGCAAGGCAAGCGGGGCGACGGGGGTTGTGGCACATTTTCCTTCTCGCCACGCATCGACTGTCGATTAGATCGTACGAAAAGTTGCCACGTCCCCGAGTCGCACGCATCACAAAGGACAATTGACAAAAAAACACGGTGTACATAATATAATTATATACACACACACAGACGGTATCTTATGTGTACGAGCAGCGAAAGACAGTATGTATACGGGCAACTCACACGTGGCTCTCCTTGACGTTTTTAAGGCCCTGGCCGACGTCCTCGCTGAGCTCCTTCCAAACGCTAATGCCGAGCTTGCGCTTGAGCAGGTGGGCCGTGCTCACCTTGCTCGCCAGGACCTCCCTCAGCGTCTGGATCTCGTCTTCGATCTGCGAAATTCGACACACACACACACCATTACACACGTACAGAGCTTTACCGCTTTAATTGGGCCCACTGTACTCGAATATATATATATGTATATAAACGCAAAAGGGGGGGGCACCGTAAAGATGTTATTCGTGCGGTGGCATAGTATGGCGTGACGTTTTGTTCGCAGTAATGGGGAGGGGGTTTCGCTTTCTTCCCTTTTGCGGGTTTTCTCTCCCCGGGATATCCGATGGGCAGTTTATGCAGGTGTATATATACGCGAATTGCGGAACCAACCGGGAGAGAGTAGGTTATACGCTGCAAATGGACGCGTATATATATATACAGGAGGGGAGCGTAATAGGCTGATAAGGGTTTTATTGAGGCTGGGAGTGGCTGTTTGTTGGGTTTTTTTTTTTTTTTTTTTTCCCTCTACGTGACGGGACACACCTGCGCGCTCCGTTACGCGGTGGATTGGCCGGGTATTTTTATGGGTACGTCTCAATAGCGCTCCGCGATGGAAAATTTTTTGAATGGCACGTGTTTGTTGGGCTGCCGAGTGCAATTTGCGAGACCACGAAAATTAGAGAGTACCAAGAGGTCAATCTTTTTTTTTTTTTAAACGCGCGTTGAATCAACTCGAGGATAAATTTCCCACAAGTTGTGCGATTTCTTTTGCAAAAGTGTTTTATGGTTTTGATTTCGTATCAGCTTTTATTAATCTCCACGTCAAGATGTTACGGCTCCTTGGATTTTCCATCGAATAACCTTGGCTTTATATGTATACGCATACGTGGTCGTCGGAAGGATAAAAAAAAAAATTAATTGCAAATACATCTAAATTATGACTGTTATTAATCGTGGGTAAAAAATTTTAAGGTGAAAGTGCCGAGTTTTCATCCCAACGTGCCTTGTTATTTTTACGACTACGAGTGCATTGACATAGTTGATTTTTAATGTATATGTTGAATACTAAAATATTTTAACGATTACCGCTTCGATAAAATGTTTTGAGCTGTTTTACGTAATTGATAGGATTCGTAGAAGATTTACCTTTGTATAACCAAACATTTCGCACATCTCGTCGTTACGTAAAATTAAATGCAACAATATCTGGCTGTTAATTTGAGTAATTTATTTTTAACGCTCGACCCAAATGAGAAAAATAATAAAATTATTTTTTCATCCAAAAGCGGTGAAATGAAAAGGGGAACCCTGACCTGGGAGTTTTGTGTTTTCACTTTTTTTACAAGATAATCGCGCGGCCAATAANGGGAAAAAAAAAAAAAAAAAGCAATAGCATCGAGGTGGAGAGAAAGCAAGTTCAAAACTCATTTGTCAGGGGCAAAAACCCGCTGGGGCGCGAGGAACAGGAAAGATGTTTCGATGCAGTTTTCAGTACATACACCTACGTATAGGTATATATTTTGGATACACGAGACGCGTGAAATATCGCGGCAGCTCGTAGTGGCAGATATAATACTCCGAAATTTCATCGCCTCGTTATAAACACTGCGCGGCTGTATACTACTTGGGGCCATATATTTTATCGCGTCGTGTGCATACATGGGAAAGAGAAACGAGCGGGAGTTTTGCAACAACTGATGCCGGTGTTTTTGCTGATGGCGTTTGTACGGCGAAAACAAGTTCGCGAGCCCGGCAGATGTACGTGCAACTGTCGAGTTTCATGCACACATAGGTCGTGCATTTAGGTACATTGGGTGTGAAAAGTCTGTGTGTATATGCGTAGGAAGAGGGTAGGGAAAAAAGGGGGTGAGCTTCGTTATACGCCGGCAAACGATAAGAGTATAGGAGTCTTATCCCGAGGAGCTCGTAAAATATTTAGCTCGTCCTCCCCGGCGAAAACACCGTGCACATAAAGATTGGATAATGTCGTCCTATCGCGATGCTTCACTTTTCTTCTTTTCCTCGAGTGTACGAGTCTCTCTTTTTTTTTTTTTTTTTTTTTTTTTTTGTATGCCAACCCAACCGCTATACTTAAAAGCTCGATGAAATACGAAACTAAAGATATACATCTCCCAGAGGCCGAACAAACAGGTGCGCTGCACTGCGCTCACGCGAAGCCTTTTTAACCAACTCTCCCGGCATTTTCCGAATGCGCTAAACCACCATAATCATCGAATCGCGTGTACATTATCACTCACGTGGCTAAGCGCGAGAGAGGGACAGCACTCGCGAGGAAATTTTTCTCCTCCCGGTGGTAATTTTTCAAAGTCGCCGCGCCAGCCGGCGATTAAAGACGCAAAGGTACCTGCGCTCACCAACGATATTGCACAAGAGCGCGCAAATCCGTTTAATTGCGGCCAAGTGTCGTCGGGCATTTTTACGAGGATCGTTCGAAATTTTCCTCTCTCTCTCTCTCTTATTATACGAGGTAACAAGGAGAAAGTCTTGAAATTTTCTTTACAATATCATATTTTACGCGACATAGAAAGCTTATACGCCTCATTCGTTCGCGCATGTGAGGCGAGGGGGAGGGAGTCTCTAATAATCGTGAGCTATACACACGGGAACACTTAATCGCCGGTCGGTCGAGTCTAATGGCGAATTTACGGCCCAACGATTCGCGGTTCCGTGAGGTATATACGTGTATGAGTTGCGAAGGAGATACAGCTGCTTTGCCCATTTTAATCGCAGCAGCCGAATGTTTATCTCTTGAGTTTAGGAATCGGAAAATGGCACGGATTCTTACGACGGAGTGTACTGTAATAATAGATTTTTTTGCTGTTTCCGTATCGAGCAATTTACCGGCGTACAAGTTTAGTGGGGCCATATCTGTACGAATGAGACTCGGGGAGTAGCGAAAACGCCGCGATAAGATAAATCAACTCAGCTCATGAGTTTGATAGCGGGTAGAAATGCGATAAGACGCGCTAATTAGTCGTCGTCGACGATTGTGATTCATGATTTTACTACTTTTTTTTTTTTTTTTTTACTTGTGAACCATCATGCGGCTTTTTTGCTTTCAAAATTGTTCTTCTAAATTTACAATTGATTACAAAAATAAAAAGTTATCTCCACACCGCTTAACGCAAGCTTAGGTTGCAGAGATGGTAACTTTTACAGCATATTACAACATCACACTTGGGTACTCTTTTAATGTTTTTCTATTTATGAGGTACCACTTTAAATAAATTGGTAAGAAAAAACACGTCAGATGAAAAAAAATTGAAATTATTGACTTCAAGAAATTCTTTATCATCATTTCATTGTGAATAGTGATGGATGAAAAAAATTTTTTAAGCAAAAAAGTGCACTTCATGCGAGAAAAAAATGTATCCTTCAAAGTGTTCGAAAATCCAATGAAAATAATTGTAAAAAGTTATTTCTAAGAGAGGCAATTACGAAAACTTTTAATCGGTTCTTTCCCAATCCTAACGGAAGTTGAAATGAAAAAGATTTCGTCCTCGTTTATAAGAAATTCTATGCCTTGAACTGTAAACAAAAAAGAATTACACCATCGCATCCCTTATCGCATATAACAATATAGCCTCTGCAGTGCCATCAACGAACAATTTTTATTTGCTCTCGCGATCTCGTGTCACAGATCGCAACAAAAAATCACATTAAAAAAAAAAACCATCGTCAACCGCACCTTTACCAACGAGTCCCCTCAGCTTCTCCCCAATCCTCGCCCTGAGCTTGCGCAGCTCTCCCCTGGTACTCCTGACGTGTCCCTCGTGCTCGCCCTTGAAGTCCGCCTCCTCGATCTCCTCGATCTCCCCGGTGTCCTGGTGCCAATGCACCAAAATCTCCTCCGAGTCGCTGATCTCGAGATCGTCGAAGCTCGGCGTCGCTGCCAAACTCGCGTTGCTGTAGTACGCGTCCTCCTCGTACTCCGGGCCGACAAACTCCTCGTCGGTCGACACCTCCTTCATCGCGCGCCTTGATGGGGACCCATCCGCGCTACCAACACCCTCCTTTTTACCGCTGCCGGTTTCCTCGTGCATCCTCGACCTTACGGTTTTGTAATGTTCACCGATCGAAGTCTCAAGCATCCACATTACGTATATACGTTACGTACAGCCACTATACCCGTGTAGCAATCGGAACGAATTGGTCATCAGTCGATCGGTAGAAAAACCCGCGATCATAGTCGTGCCCATTGGACCCGATCATCCGATACTGGGATGCCGAGTATAAAAAAAAAATCGCAGTCCTACATACAACTGTATCGAGTGAGCTTGAAAAATTACAGACGAAATTACAAAGTGCTACCCAAGATCGGTAAACAAAAAAAGAAGTGTAGATTTCTCGGGGAAAAAAATCGGCACCACGAGCGATTTAACTCTTGGAAAATCCCGCATCATCCAATATTCTCCACCATCGTGTGCGAGGATATAATAGTCATGTACGTGCACACGCATCAAACCAGCCTGCCGATCCGCGAGTCATAACGCATCTTCTTCTTTGGGCTGTCGATCGGCGTTGCGTCACACATCAGCGTCGCGTATTATATACGTGTACAAAAATCTCTGGAAATCTCACGCCGGGAGCGTGTCCCGTTATACTCCGAGAACACCATCATCCTCCTCCTTCTTCTTCTTTTCTCTATACATCGGGAACACTTCCTTTAACGGGTCCTTCCCCCTTGAAAAATCGGTCTCTCCTCTCTCGCCGGCAGCAGCCCTCGGCCGAAAAGGGCTACCTCCCCTCCGCTCCGAAAAAGGGCCCTCGATCCCCGAAACCAGTCCCCGGCACTGTATCATATATAGGTGTATTTTTACAAGTAAACACACACACACACCACTAAAAACCACTAACTGTACAGGTATAGTCAGCAGAAGAGGCTAAATCTACGGCTCGCGCGGACACACACACACACACTGTATACACACGCTCGCAGCGCCGCCTCCGATCTTTGTGCGACATCGCACGCACAACCCGGACAGCAGCGGCAGCTGGTCCACTCCCAGGCGTCGTTGCTCCTTGCCGATCTCTGGTGCTCGTTGCTCCTTTCGTCTATCGATTTTTGTTTTTCACCGTCCCATCAGCCACGAGTGAACGATCCACGCGGTGCCAGTAACGACGACAGAGGTGAAGACGAAAAAAAAAAAAAAAAAAGAAGAAAAATCGGCAAGACGTACAACCTGTGTGTGGGTGTATGTATTCGTACATGCAAATAGCGGTTGTGTCCGTGTGGCCGAGGAAACGCGAGCTGGAGAGCCACGCAACTCTGCCACGAACGTCTCGGACGACGACGACGACGAAGACGCGAAAACGGTATAGTCCGGTATAGGCACTAGAGTAACGAGAAAGAGAGAGCGAGAGAGTCAGGGCAGCGGTGGTGGCGGTCCGCAGCACTCCACACCTGAGAGCGACCGGTGGTTCGCTATCCCGGCTGACGATGGCGGCAGCGATCGGGGGCCCTCTTACCTGGCTCTCTTCTCTCTATACATATTATGTACGTCTCTCGCGTGACTCACGGCTGCGCTATTTTATCTATGCCGCTGAGGTATATAACTACTGAGGAGACCCAGTCTCTCTCGCTCCGATTTCTTTCCTGCGCCGATCCGTTTTCCCTCCTACGCCGCGCGCAACAGCGTTCGGTATCCATATACTTGACTGTGTGCTTTCGTTTTTCTTCCCAACTACCTACACGTTCGCCAACATATTTGTCGCGATTGCTCGACAATCGGCGAGCTTTTTACCCATTTTTCACGGAACGATCGGTATTGCGTGGATTTTGAATTCGATCGCGCTTGCGCGTAGGTGCTGCACCTTCGATGATAACGTTACCGATCTCCGTCTAATTTCATTCGCACCTAGCGACACGCGCGTCCTACTAAGGAAGCAAAAGGGGGCAAAAACTCCCTCTTATCGATCGGTCGCAAAAACTCTATGTACATATATTATTTTCTTGTGTGTAGGTGTACACATATAGGTATATCGTCTAAGAGTGAAATCGAACCGCGGAGACACAAAAACCACGAGCCTCGCACATTGAGCCTGACCTGAATCTCTTTTTTTTGTGTGTGTGTATACAAACTTATATACATATACTACATAAACATACGAATCACCTGTTACCAATGTAGATCCGTTAATTTAAAATGCCTTGATCACCAGCACGCTTCAATGTTCGCGATCGGCCAACGAAGTCGATGAACCCTTAGGGCAAGGGGGTCCACGCAATCTGTCGAAAAGCTCGGAATACATTTTTCGAGACTGTATACCTACGTATCGATGATATAATGTGTAAAACAAATCAGAAAAAAAATCTTTTTTACTTTGCACGCACAAGCTGCGCGTACTCCGATTTCTCCCGCGCGCCATAAATTTATCGCAAAATTAAAAACAACGACTGCCGCGGCTCCTATATTTTCTTGTACCCATCATATTATAAACACTATTAAAATGAAAAAAAAAAAAAAAAAAAAAAAACACGAGCCTCGATATCCTATCTACAAAATCAGATCCGCTTTTCTCGATCGTAAATCTCGTTATGGTGTGTATTCGCCTATAGAAAATATATATATATTTATAAACCTCTCCGCACTTGTGTATGATATACATAAACGTGGCGGCGTACAGTAATGGCACAACGGAGCCATAAGTCACATCGGCATCGACACTCGTGCACATGTATAGACATACCCGTGCGCAACCCAAACGAAATGCCACAGTATGGAATCTCGTTGGTGCGCGACGGGGAAAATCATTCGCAAAAACCAAGTATATATACGCAGAGACCGCGCGAAAAATCGGCTCACTTGCGCAAGTGCAACAACCAGCGCGTAAATATACTATACCTACTTTACCGTTACCGATTTTACGTGTCTATGTCATATATATGCACACGCAAACGTCACGGAGGCGCCTAGGCTCTCGCTCGATTTTTAACGACATAGAACGTGCATACGTGTGTATGCAAAAGGGGTATACCTATACGTAGGAGAACGAGAGCGGCCAAAAGCGAAATTTATGGTCTCGGGTCGTACTCGGCATTGTACTCGGGATGAGATGCACGCGCGAGAACTTTGGCGTAACAAGCTTGGGAAGGGAGAAAAAAAAATGATGAGGTGTATGGTGTAGGACGATGGTTTCCGATGGTCCCCGTTTGCTGCATAAATCTACACTGCCCGGCTCGAGGACTAATGGGAGGGTATATTTATCACCACTCATAGTTTTGCTTGTATTGATTAAACTGCCGTGAATATCAATGTAGGGGATGTTTTCGCATGACGAGAGGTCAATTCAATGCAAATACGCAGTTCCAATACGTATATTATAACAAATACACTACTGTCGTTTCGGCTCATTACGTCAGTTTGCAATAAAAAAAAAAAAAAAAAATTGTTAACGGTACCGTTATTGCACTAATAACAATGCAAATAGCAATGATCTCTCGATAACTTGTTACCATATCATGCACATTGTTGCATATCGAATTGAAATATTACAATACATGAATTTTTTACATTTAATTTTATTCGTTAATTTTTTTTTTTGAAAGAAAGAAAAAGTAGAGAAAAAAAACCTGTGTTTGTTTTAAGTTAATATGATATTATAGTACACATCCGACGCAGTTGGGTAATTTCCCAATGTTTTTAATTTTATACACTTTCATCATAAGTTTTTTTTTTCAGTTCTTTATGTATTTATGTTAAAAATAGTGACGAAAACATATAAGAAAATCTTTTGTACTATTTGGGTAGTGTAATATATGTGGTTGGACTACTTAATGAAAAAAAAAAAAAAAAATTATGGGAATGTTCATAAGTACAGTAATAAAAGTAGTGCAATCAAAAATATAGATAGCGCAAAATGAATCTAACACAACTAGGATACTGCAAAATTAAAGAAGAGAAAAAATGTATTTTTTTCAGTATCGAAATATATGTATACTATCTGCACACAAGTTTCAACTGAATTAGCGATCAGATTGTTTTTCGCGAGGAATTAACCTTCTGGTTTCCTCCATCGCCGGGTCATAAACACACATAAGTCACCGCATCAACGTGCATAAACAGCAAAACCAATCCCGCGATCGATCCAGTGGCTCCAATAAATAATGCCCCCAAACGGCATCAAAAACGCTTCTAAAATGCAAAACGGAGGCCAATAATCTGCGCAGCATATACCTACCATATTATTTCCAAGGAAGCGTATACGTATACGTAAAGTGTCCTGGCGCTGTAATTGTTCCCGTTTCACACGTAAGCCGAGAGCGAAGAGGAATTTCCGCGTATTAAAATCATCCTCTCGCGCGCGGCGAGGGCCAGTGCGTGTGCGCGTGTATATGTATAAATTATGCACGCCACTCACCCGGTGAAAAGGGATACGAGTTCTCCGGCTGATAAGGTGTGTTCATCATCCCAAAGTGGTGAATCATGTCCGAAATCGCAATCGCTGCCGTGCAATCTCTCTCTCTCTCTGACGGACAACCAAATTACACACACGCACTCGCGCTGAATTTGCAATAATCTCCACACCTCCTTTCCCTCCGCGGCGTGTAATTATTCTTATTACTCCGCGAGCGGCCTTAAACTTGGATTCGGGTTGTTTCTTTCGCGCCTCTGTGAGAATGTCTTGTGAAACAAGAGGGGGGGGGGGGGGGGAAGAATAAGTATAACTCGAAGACTCGTCCGCGGTCGAAGAGCTTTCGAGGCGTTTTAATGTCAAGCGCGTCCGTTCCTTCGTGGCGTCACTATCCAGTATATTAAATTAGCGACCGGTCACTACAGTGCAACGGAGGATTAGGCACTTATACATGAGGAGGGATAGGAGTAAAAGAAAAAAAAAAAAATACAATGTAGAGCACAGACAAACCCCCCCTTTTTTTTTTCAATACAGCTGAGCACCCGATTTCTTTGAAACAAAAAAAAAATAAAAGAATTTCATTAACCACATTTCGTTTAATATATTTTTTTTTTTCATCATAAAAATTGGAATCGATTTGGAAATGTAAATGCTATTCCATGAGTTAACATTTTTTTTTAATAACAATTTTAGTGTATGAAATATTTTTTTCAGCGAGCTGTAATTTTTTTTTATTGAAACAAATATCGAATGGAATTTTTTTTTTCAAAGAAGTAGCCATCAAGTTGTGGGTTTACAAGTTGGGTTGGAATAGGCAAAACAGAATAGCATAAAAATCGCAGTGAAGAGACAAAAAAACTACGGACAAGAACGGAAGAAGCAGCGAAAGACGAGATCGATTGACGAGCGGCAAAAAAGAGACAATACGATTAACGGCACAAATAGTATATCTAAAAAAAAAGTATCGTCATATTGGACTCGAGAGCAATTAGTTACGCGTATTAAATACTGTGGGATATGTTTCGAGTTGTTGATTTCTTTTATTATTGAATATGTTACGTTATCCTGTTTTCAGGTGGAGATTTCTTTAACTACTTTTAATGAACAGTGTGATTTCAAACTTTCAAAAGAAAAGCCAACCTATTTTTAAATAGGAATTATTATCATTGTTTTTTTAATCACAACACTGAAAAAGGAAGAAAAAGAGCTTCATGTTGCGTAGTTGTTCTTATTTTTTCTGTTCATTCAAGGTAATTAAGACTTGCCTTTATAATTACTCGTTAAATACTTAACGGGTTATCGATTAATATTACCAGTATTCTAATTATTCTTTTAATTAGTATATTTCATTGAATACATACTTATGTACATTGTGATATTAAATCTGACATTTAAAAAAATATTATGAACAATATCCAGCAATGCCTTATAGTGAGTAGTGAGAAATG